GCCGGAAGTGTCTGTAGCTGTCACATCGTGCTGCGCAATTTACTTTTTTGGCTTCTAGTTTTTGAATTAGGCTTTTTGAATCGGATTTTTCCACTGATTCTCGTAAAGTGATTATTTCCTTAACAGGATTGGATATTTTTTTTCGATTTCGAGCGTGCGTTTTCGTGAAATAGTGCCGGAAGTGTCTGTGGCTGTCACATCGTGCTGCGCAATTTACTTTTTTGGCTTCTAGTTTTTGAATTAGGCTTTTTGAGACGGATTTTTCCACTGATTCGCGTAAAGTGATTATTTCCTTAACGGGATTGGATATTTTTTTTCAGTTTCGAGCGTGCGTTTTCGTGAAATAGTGCCGAAAGTGTCAGTGGAAGTGTTGACAATGGTTCCCAATTCTTCTTTACTCTTAGTTCTACACCAGATTTGCAGAATAAACATACAATCTTTGGTAAGGTTAGTGGAGAAACTATATATAACATGCTTTAACTTGGAGGAGCACTTGTAGTTGAGATAAATTATTAAGAAATCGTAAAAAATAAATTTTTTGTATTAAGAAATTTGATTTACAATTGTTTATTTACAATGTTTTCATAGGCGAAAAATGAATACAAAATAAGTACTTTTACAAAATTAGGAATTTATGGTAGTTATTTAATAATAATTTCTCGTGATTTAAGTTCATCAGGTTTATTTTATTTAATTGAAATAATTTAGAATTAAGCTAATAGACGTTTAGTAATAATTAATAGAAATAAATTGAATAAAGGAAATCAACTAGTACTATACCTGATTCATAGGAATTTTTGTGTGTCGCTATTAGGCTGCAACGCCACTAGGAAACCATTGGAAATAATTTTATACTTATAGAAGTAATAAAACTTTAATCCTAAATATCTCAAAAAGTATTGAGTAGTGGCGGCTGTAATGATATATATTATTGAACTGCATGACGAAATCTACAAAGCTACAAAGTTTCTATCAAATCGGTAATTGGAAGGACTTGCACTGTCTTTGTTAGTTTCTTTTGTTTCATCGTTACATTAATTTCCGAGTTATCATCCGTAGGTAATATATAACTAAGGAATTCTATTGCGGTTCTTGCAAAAATTTTTACTTCGTAATCTGCATTATCGATATTACGATTTTTTAGTTCAGTAATATAGTTTTTAGTTGCTTTTAAGTTTTTAATTTTGCTTATAAATTTTATGTTTCCATATTGTTATGATTTCTCAATTGCATTTATATTTTTGATAACCTTTATATTCTATTTTTGACCATACATGAGTGTTCATTACTAAAAATACATTACTCATTATTTATAAAAATTAATAACACTAGAATTGAGAAGTCCGTTTAATACTGTTTTTATAACATTTTTATTTTTAAACCATTTATTCAATCTGATTGTTCACGTGTTTGAGAGACTCAAAATTCATAGCAGAATATGCTCGAACGACGTTTTTGACCAAATCCTAATTTTTGATAGCGTAGACAATTTTGTCAAATGAGGTCTCGCATTATGACGCCGCAGAATCGTTTTCCATTTCGGTCGCTAATGAAGATTGCTCTTTTAGCAGTTCCACGTGTGCGAAAAATTGAAACGTCGAAAAGAACGCGTTGAAAACCACGAGGCCATGAAGGTGTCGTTGAGCTAGCCAAGTTCATTCCAGAGGCTTTGTTAAACGGGATTGGTACCGAACCCATGGGACACGCTGGCCTAGAAGATCTCTATTATGTCATAGCACTTTCCTTCAATTCATTCCAGTTCGAAAAACCGATGGCTCAATAGAAATCATTTCGCTCTGACTGCACCAACAAGTTTACACGTTGGAACTAGAAATTTCTCTCCTACGGATTGCTTCCATTCAACTTTCCCGCAACGAAAATTTTTCTCTACGATTATGTTAACGATGTTATAAATCCTGTGTAACACCGTGTGACCTAGAAATTGCATATGCAGTCGCTCATGAAACTATTCCAGAATTTGATTCTGAAATTTAAAAAAAGTAAGATACTTACGTTGCACTAGGTATTTTGATAATAATTTTTTAATTATCATTATCTTAACGATCTTATAAATTTTACATGTCATCGTGTGACCTAGAAGTTGCATATGCAGTCTCTCATGAAATTATTTTAGAATTTTCTTCTTAAATTTTTGAAAAGATACGTACGTTAGACTAGGTATCTTGAAAATAATTTTTTGATTAACATTATGTTATGAAACTTATAAATTTTACATGTCATCATGTGACCTAGAAGTTGCATATGCAGTCTCTCATGAAATTATTCTAGAATTTTCTTCCTAAATTTTTGACAAGATACTTACGTTGGATTAGATATCTTGAAAATAATTTTTTGATGAATATTATGTTAAGGAACTTATAAATTTTTTATATTATCGTGTGACCTAGAAATGGCGTATACAGTCACTCCTAAAAGTATTCGAAATTATACTTAAATTTTTAACAAATTAGATACTTATGTTGTCCTAGGTACTTTGAAAATAATTTTGTGACCATCATTACGTTATAACGATTTTATGAATTTTATATATCATTGTGTGACCTGGAAATTGCATATGCAGTGACTCATGGACGTATTTGAAAGCTTGCTTTTTAAATTTTTAATAAATAAAATTCTTAGGTTATGTCTGAGATTTTGAAAACAGTTTTTTATCTATCATTTTAGTAACGATATTAGGAATTTGTTAGGAAATTTGCAAAACATTGGATGTAGACATATGTACATATTTATGGAGAAAGTTAGTATTCCAATGCATAAGAATAAAGCATAAATATCGATATTGCGAGTAATACTGACAGTAGCTCAATTAAGAATTAATTTTTCGACATACAACGAATTTAAACGTAATTTTAATATTTTTATTAACTATTAACAGATTATATATTGACAGATGACTATTGTCTATCGAGTTCAAAGTATTGAAAGTTATTTAATATGGAGAGTGACGTTTCAAACAATTTTTGAATAGACGTAATGGCAGAAGAAATATCAAAGTGTTAGAAATTGGAGTAAAAAAAAAAAATAAAAAGGAGAAAAGGGACGAATAGGATTTGAAGTATGTGTGTACATGTGTGCGTGAATGCGACGACGAATAGCTAGATGGCGTTATAGAAGAAAAGAACAAAAGGAAACTGAAAGATTGGATAAAGGCAATCACATGTGCAATATTAAAGAAATTGAAGTTCATATTTCGTGTTAAACTACTTTCAAGTGTATATATATAGAATTATATATTCTATGTTTCAGCAAAGAGAATGAGAAGAAATTTTCAAATTTTATTTTAAACAGATATTGTATGAACAAGCTGCATTTTTTAAAACAATGTTAATTCTTTACAAATAAAACGCTATTTTTTAACGAAAGAATATAGTTTATTTTGTCTAAAAATAAACTATATAAATAAAAACGCAAAAGAAATTAAGTTTTCATTTTTATTATTTGCTTCTTTCAAATTCATTCCAGTTTAATTCAATTCAGTTTATTTTATTTTCATGTTCCTATTGTAGAATAACATTGAAACATTTCTGAATAGTATTTAGATTTTAAATATATTATTTTTCCAAAATTAAGTGCGAGAGAAAGGTATAATATCTCACAAAATTAATAACATAATTTAAAAACTTTACGTATAGTCTCATCCAAATAATAATCATTATTTTACTGACGACAGTTTAGCAGATTATAAAATACTATTTATTTTATGTGAATAATTTGGATATGTACTTACATCTCTTTTATACAACCAAATCTACATAATAAAATTCCAATTTTCGACTGTAAATCATACTTTGGAAGAATTTAGATTATTTAATGTAGTATTGATTTTCTTTGAAGATTTCTTAGCTTAGTGTTCCACCATATTGATCCCTGGACTCTTTGACCTCACTTTATCATCACCTCAACATGCTCCTTTATTTCTTGATATTTGCAATGAATTTTTTTTTCCCTGTTTTATTATCTCTGTATATCCGTGAAAGTTTAGTGAAACAAGGATGACTTTAAATATTTCAAATCCATCGCCGTGAAGATAAAATAAATATGTAACGTCGGCTGAAGAAATGGAACGCAAAAACATGTTATTCCGTCCATTTCCATTTTTTCCTTTTCTGCAATGCATTTGTAGTTTCAGCACTAAATACGATTCGAATCTTCAATACTTGATAATCAGCACAGGATTAATTCTAGCAGATGAATTTGCACATATGCACCATCTTTTTTCGTTTTACAGTTATTATTCTATTTTTATTTTGATTTTGCACGCACTATGATTAAAATATTATTATATCGATTGGTAGTATATTGTTATTAAAGTGTTACTAATATTTTGATTGTTAGTTTATCTTAAATTGAATTTTGAGGAAGATTCAGTGATACCGTAGCTATAATCTCACTTTTTCAAACTTTTTCATAAAATAGTTAAAAGCATCGTACATCTTTGAGAAAATGGAATATTAAATGGAATATAAAAATAATGCCAAAAGAAATTAGAAAAGTTAACATAAATCAAATTAATATTACAAACATGAACATAAAAGCAAAATTAATATTGCTAATAATAGTACAAATGAAAAATGATATTGCAAAAGTTGTATCAAATTTTAACGTGTAACTGGAAGGATAATAAATATTATAAATATAGCAAGCATGTATAAATGTTACAAAATAAATTAATGAAAATTAATTTATATGATATATTTATATTCTATAAATTAATTCCTTGAATTGTATGATATATATTTATGTCTACTCATATTCAAAGATGCTACAATATAATACCAAACAGGAAAAAGTGAAATTCACCAAAGTTGAAAAAATATCATAAATAAAAGAAATATATAAATCAATACCTGATAACGTACAATACAATGCATTGTTTAATGCATAATATTAATATATAATATTAATATTTAGTATCATATTTCCATTTAAAATAAATATCTGTAACAGCGTGATGAACTTACAAGAACAATTGCAAGCAATCATATTTCTTTCCGTGAACCAAAACGACAACAGTATTGGAATTTTGAAAGCGCCTCTGCTGATAGTGATTGATAAACCGGGCACTCGATGTCTGTACACATTTTGTCTTCATGACCATGGCAAACACTGTCGCAGTTACATTGGAAACGTACAATTCGTATGATATGGAGATCACCAACGTTCGTAAATGTATAATAATTTCCGGTTTTTAACTGCAATAATTCGTCTTCGTCGTTGATACTCAAAAATAACGAATTCGTATCGTTTTGCTTTAAGACACGACCAGGTAGTATTTTGGCATATTTGTTTCTTTCAACCAGAAGTTCTTGCATTTCCTTTCGTGCACTCTGTGAATAAAATTAATTACCGAATTGAAGAATAATGTGATGAAATTCAATAAAATGTAATAGTTATCATTTAATTATCATATTAGTGTCAAGACATAACTAATAAATAATTATTCCTGTAATTAATTATCAAATGAATTATCATGTTAAGTGTTTAAATTGTACAATATTTTTCCTTTTTTGTTCAAAATAATACAGCTTCTCGAATCCTCAAAGTCTCATAATTAATTATTATTCCCGGAGAGTTTAAAAAATGTTTTCATTTGCATAAATTAAGATACGTGTGAATTAAAATGTCAGTTTATATATAAATATAATTTATCTCAGTATAATTCAAAAATTATGAAACAAAAATATAATCATAATCTTTCAATATAATAAACATAATCATTTGAATATAATCTTATAAAATTAAATAATTTAAAATCGAATATATTTAATAATATATTTAAATAATATATTTATATTGTAACTTTATATCCAAGATTCGAAATATCGGTATAATATTAATATAATATACAGTATGTAACTCGAATAATTTACCGCAAGTTGAGATTCGTGTACTCTCGTCTTATTAAGTGTCCACCATTTGGTATAAGCGTTATGGAACACGCTCTGTGCTTTATCGTATTCCGGGTAAATATCTGTACCCAAGCTCTTGTAGCCGAATGCACCAACAGCGTCGGTATTACCGTCTTTACCATAAGAGCTGCCGCCCAAGAACCAGACAGTGTACTCTCTCAATATTGGATACTGCTGGGTACGTAAGTACCAATACAACGAAAAGTACAACGCCAGTTCCTGATTTGGCCCACCTTGACCGGGTTCAGAACAAAGATTGACAGTCGGTCGACCACCTAATAGAAGACACAGACCCAAGCCCCATCTATCTTTCGCTGGAAATATTTCTTGCACTTTTTCGTCGGTCAACGGACAGATGGGGCTCTCTTTCATTTCCTGAAACATTTCCAGCTTGGTAATTTTTCCTTCAACCGCTAATATCATCAACGACGCCATCTTGACGTATTCCTGTGCAAACTCTTGGATCTCACCAAAACAAGTTGAATTAAGCTTTATAGGAAACAGGCCTGATTTGAATGTCTCGACTGCCATGCATTCCATGGCATCTGCATTGCAGGCTATCACGCATTGATAAACAAATTTGTAATTTTTGTTCGCGTCTAATTGCTTGTCAGCAGCCATCGTCCATGGTATAGTTTCTTCGACTAGATCTCTCACACTTAATGATACTTTGTCGAGTAATTTGTATTTTACTAATATCGCTAAGGCTTTCTCATCCTTTGGGTCATAGACACATGGGCCACCAGATAGTTGAGCCATTGGCTCTGTAGAGACGTCTGAGGTGATTAAGGTTACTATTCTTGCTGGATAAGCAAACCGAGCTAAGTCGCCTCCTATATTGAAGGAAATTAAGAGAATTATAGAAAATCCTTTCAAATTGGACATGTTACTAAATCGAATCTAAATCCCTAGATTTCTCTGTAGATAAAACATTCGAGGAGAATAAAAATATCTATTAAAGTACAGATAAAGTGAATAATGCAACAAATTTTTCTTTCATTTATAATAGTTTTAATTTACAAAAAAATTAATTCTCTAAAATCAGACTAAAAAGAAAAAGAGTATGTAACCAATAGATGTTTCTTGATTGTAAACAAATAGTTATAAATTGTACATTAATCCCTACAGATGGAGACACTGATTGTTTCTAAATTGAGTACAGACATGTCTAGTTATTTTATAAAAGAGCTCACTTCATTATTAAATTCCTCGATATCATGTAATCATTATCCCCAATTATTTCAAAAAAAGAAAATTATATTTTATACAGTTTGCAGAATTTGTTCTGTAATTTTTCATAAATAATATATCAGTTTCATTATCTGTTTTACCTCTGATTGCTGAAAGCTTGTTTCTCACAATATTAATTTCCTCAGGAGTTGCATTTGCAGCCTTCAACCTGCTCAACACTCTCAACTTATCTCTCAGGGTAATAGTTTCTCTCGGACAACATAGAAGGTCATCGATTTCATGCGAAATCATTACTATCAGTAGATCTCTCTTCTTTAACTTCTTGCAATAATGTAGAATTCCCCTAGTGGCATTCACGGACTTTTCATCCGGCTGTCCATCAGTTCCAGCTTCTACGTAGGTAATACGACTATCTAGTGCAGGAAAAGCTTCTGGGAAGCTCCACATCATGAAAATGGAATTTCGTGGCACCACCATCCAACCTTTTTTCAATTGTTTACCAACAATTCGTTCGAACGTTGAACTCATAGTTACTGCTTCTTTACCCCAACCCACGATATGCAAATTATTTCTCAGTCTATATTTTACTCCTTTTATTGACAGGATCGATCGACCATCGTATTTAATTTTTTCTGGAATAATCACCGATGTGTATACACACTTTATACCAGTCTCGATAATTCTGCTTAACTCTTCCCGAATCTAGAAATGTAATAAAACGAATTAATCAAAATATATTTGTGAAATGTACCAACAGATGATAAACACAAAATTTAAGGTTAGAGTAGAAAGAAAGGTTAGAATCAAAATATAATTATATTTACTTATTTTTATGATATTAATATAAGACCATTGATACTACAAGTTGTATTTTTAATGTATAAATGGTAAAGATAAGGAGTGGGTCCAAAATATAAAATTTTGGATATTTATTTGTAACCTAAATATGAAAAATAATTTTTCAATTGACTTAAAGGTAACAGTTATTAAAATAGAATATCACTTAAGAAACGACATTGAATATTTTTACTGCGTTAATTTATAAATGGAATAACAAAATTATTTAAATATTTACGATATTAACTTATGAAAATTAATGATGAATATTATTATGAAGAATGAGGTTAGTAGTGCAAACCAGTGACGTAATCAGAACCTGTAACATTGTCTTGTCACTTCCCGTTTTTCTTGAATCCCTAATTTCTTTTTGTCGAGTTCGTTCTTCTTTCTCGAAACGTGCATTTCGAATGGCTATTTTGTCCAATCTTCTTCTTTTGAGTGATAAGTCAACTTCATCTATTATCTTTTGTCTCTTCTCTTGTATCGCTGCAATTCTCTTAGCTTTTTCTTCTTCTAGAAAGGGATCAATATATCGTGCCTTTCGTTTCCTTGGTTTCCTTTTTACGTGTTTGCTCATGGTCGGTATAAAATGTTCCTGTTTTAGTGTTACAAATTAATTTTAGTTCGTCTACATTTTGAAATTACTATATTTTTGATAAATTTTGAAAGTATTATTAGGTTAAGAGATACATATTTTTATTTAATGAAATTAGCTACTGTTCTCAGATGAAAGCAATAGATATTAATTTTAATTTAATATATGTACGTTATATCTATAGTAGATACGTATCATATATATTATCAGTAATAGATAAATGATTTTGTGAATCGTTACTTACCTACGTAGGATAAGAGGTCCTGAACATAAAGGGGCAATAAAAGTAAAACTGAACCATAAATGTAATTAATCTCAATAATCTAAGTAACATTGACTGTTATTTTTAATTTACAATTAAAATTTCATATACCCACAGTCGATCTATAAACATTCTTTAATATTGTTAAATATAATACCACAGACTTAGTGTTCTCATTTTACAATTTTTGAAATAAAATATTTTATAAATCTACAGTATCATCGTTTCATTCTTTAAAATTAAAAAAGATAGGGATCTGCCTCTCTACTAACTATTGGCACGAAGAATAAATGTCTCACAATTTCTAGAAAGAGGAATTTTAATTTAATAATTGTATCAGGCATGTGTAATCACAGCAAATATTTCCATTGCACACTGTCGGGGGACTAGTGTGGACTTTTTCGGAAAATTTACTAGATGTCGGTATCAGTAGTTTTCGACGGTATGAGCGACTGTTTTGCCACAAATTTTCAACTATTTTTCTTCCTGAATAAGAATAGGTATTGAGTCGATTATGTAGGCACTAATATTTTTGGCAACAGACTTTATTATATAAAATATAAAAATAACCCTCTTTGGTAGAACAATATAATATGTTTTAGTTATCAGGTGGGCAAATTTAAACTACGGTGGAAGCTGGTAACTCACTTTGAATTCATCGGTAAAGTAGGGATTGTACTGTCACAGATTCACCAGAGTCCGCCACTAATCATTTCATGATTATAGCTATGCCCACTGAACAAAGACTGAAATTGTTGCACAAATACCTATTATTTATTACGAATTTTTTCAAAAGTGTCACGAGGACTTAAAATAATATGAATTTCGATTTATGTTTTATAAGGAAAAATGTCTTTACGTATATTAAAATTAAATTAATACTTTCAGTCGCTTTTAACGTATGTTTTATTTCGGTTCTGTATTACTTACAATCACATTTTTGTAATAAATAATTACAGACGCATTCGGGTCTTCATTCAATTTTAGAAAATAATCGTTCCTTGAAACTTTATTGAGAAACGGATTTAATATTGTAGTAGATTTCAACCCCTGCTTCTGAGCTGACATTCACTTTCTTGGCATCTAAAATATAACCCAGCTGCAGTCTTACCAATATGAGTCTCCATAGGCTGGTACCAGACAAGTATAGTACGTATCACCTCTCTTCGATATGTGTCGCCGAGAGAATGATATAAGATACATTGCACACGGTATTTGATGTTTGAATTATTTCTCACAAAATATTGTGGAATTTATATTTCATTACAGATAGATGGAACTATTTCTCTATTCATTTCTATGTAAATAATAATGATCCATGATGGGGTGGCAGGATTATCTTGCATGGCTTACTGATAGTTTCCTGCAAATTGGGTGGTGAAATATTTAATGCAAAATTGGAAATAAATAAAAAAGGAAAATACATTTAGAGGCCTCCTAAATATGCTGATTGGTAATTATTTGCTTCGCGACGGAAATCAATTTGCATACCCATTTTTGGCACTATTTTTGTGGTGTGATTAGGATGACAAGCGTTCGTAATTTTAGGAGAATTTTTAAATTTCATTTGGATTGCAGCTAATCGAGTCAAATGATTGCCAAACAATTGAATCACAATTTCAACATTAGTCGGTCGTTACAAAAATTTCGTTAAATTGTTTAACAGTCGAGAGTACTTGTTATTCGCTATCCATCATCACATGAAACATTTATCCGAGGTAAATTTAATGAATAATCAGTTGTGGAAATGAGATATGCACCAGTGTGGTCAACTTGGGATCTGCTATGTTGAAGAGAAATTCAATCTGTTACAGCTTCGCTATGAAAAATCTAACCGAACCTAACTTATAATATTTTATATAGAACAAAATTGCTTCATATTAGAGTAATTTGTGATTTTTATTTTCGTAAAACATTGAATTTAGTACCTGAGAGGAAATGAGGATCTAAATTCCATATTTTGACTTCTTATTTTGGCCTTCAATTTTTATTTCTTAGTTCAGCTGGATAAAATAGTGACCTTAGATATTACTCACAATTTTTGCTTCAAATATTGTATATATGTTATAAATGTATTACATAAATATTAATATATTATATTTTGTGGGTTAGGTATATATATTATATATGTATGTTATAATATATATATGTTACATATGTATGCATATATGTTATAAATATATTATATAAATATAAATACATTATATATATTTGTAATATATTTTTTTTACTGCATTCGTTATTCTGTTGAATAAATTATCCTATACAACAAATAGCGTGCAATAAACTATTACTATATAATTACAATCCTACCAATATTTTATCTGCTACATTTTAATATTATAATACTAAAGTTTGCAACGTATATTATAAATATGATATATGTATATAAAATTTATTTAATAACTGCATACCAATATTCTAAATTTTATTTTACCTTTATCCACATATATATTTTGATTTCAATATATGTTTTGCATACATTATTCTTCTTCACCTAGTATGCTAGCAAGTTTGCGTTAGAGGAAAGAAATTTTTGTTCCGAAGGCGAAGTTTGTCATGATAAGATCTTTGCAGTGAAACTGGAAAACTGCGTCGTTTTCTACATTCGACGCTACTTTATATCTCATTCACGTCTTCTCCACAGCCCAGTTTGGAAGGTAGAAATCAGTGAGGCTAAAATAATGATAGTGACCATACCTCGTTTCGTAAGAACGAAAACATTCGATTACTTTACTTCGGTACTTTGGATCTTTAATTTCCGTGCCGAAACCTACTTTAAGTAGAATACCAATATCTTACAATTAACCGGAAACAGTCCACAAGTCGAGGATATGGGAGTACGTGGATGAAATTGTAATAGAATAGCAAAGGACCGACTATGATGTAACGTACTTCTTTCTTTTTCTAATATTTGATATTAAGTATCGTGTTGATCGTCATAAATTCACATTTTCTGACATTAATATATCTACAAATATTTTATAAATTATTCCACGTTTTAAATTTTTTATACATTCTTTGCATATTTGTTTACGTATTTCGAACTTTCTAAATATTTCTTTTCACATATTTCAAATTTTTTATATATTTCTTTTTATATATTCCGAATTTTTTTACAAATTTCTTTTTATATATTTCAAATTCTTTACATATTTCTTTTTATATATTTCGAATTTTGTACTTATTTCTTTTTATACATTCTAAATTATTCATATCCTTATATATTTTAAATTTCATATATAATTTTTCTATGTATGAAATGAAATTTTCTATGCATGATTTTATATTTCCCATAAATTTTCTTTTCGTATCCAAAATATAAAAATAGTATGCTTACCTGCAATTTCTTGAACGTTAAAAGAAAATTATATAATAAAAATGAAAAATCTCACTAAATATTTAACATTTCTTTATTATTGTAGCTATTTACATGCTGATTTAATAATTAACATGTACTCCGTTTAGCTTGTATTATCCAGTGAGTTCTTCTCATTGTACATTGCATACGAAAAGTGTATTCAATAAAGTCACTATTTTACTAAGACGTTAAATAAATAAGAGCAATGCATCATCGAAGTAACATCTTCGTTGTTCGTAAAGAAAAAAATCGCGGAAACGGTATTACGTTGGTTGTTGCATAAATAATTCCTTCACCAGTTGCACGTGATTATTGTTCGAGATGAAAATTCGTTTTTCTGAAAACATGAAGCTGCTGAAGTATTTGAAGTAATTAACGATGCTGAAGGTTATAGATATTATGCACAATATATTTTTACAATCATATCACATTATTCACTTTATTGTAGCTGTTTCTGCATATATATATATATATATATTTACCTTTTATTTATGTTTAATAACTAGATACATTATCATCCATCGTAATTGATATACATCGGTACAGCTGCGTGCACAATGCATCGTAAGTAATACAAAACGAAAGAAACGGTTGCTATTTAATCACTATACCATCGTATTACCTGTAACTATCATATTTATATATTTATGATTGAGCTGCCAATGTCGATTTTCCATTATATCAATGTTCAACCGTGTGAACCTTGTAATTGTATTAAGCCATACACACATACAGGGTGCAATGGAAATTTTCATATGACAACATTAATTGAAATATTAAAATTACATTAAAAGGAAAGCATGATATGTGTTGTTCTCTAGAAATTTCTGTAACAAATTTTCATTGTAAATTTGTCTTACATTCCTTTTTAATATTTATTCAAAGCTGAAGTTATTGCAAGAAGGTAAACAAAAATTTATATTATTCAAAACTAATTTCACTTATTCTTTTATGTAATACAATATATTAAAAACTGATTTTATTTTATAGAATAAATTTGTTTATTTTTCTTTTCTTTGTAATTGTTACAATCTTTATTGCATTGTTGATTTAAAGAAAAATTCGTTTTTCAAAGAAAATTTCTTATTTTGTTTAATTATTTTCTAATTGTAACAATTTTTGTTGCATCGACAATTTGAAAAATTTATTTATTACTCAGAGGAAATTTCTTTATTTTCCAATCGTTACAATTTTGATTACAACAGCGATTGAAGAAAAATTTGCATATTGCTCGGAAGAAATTTCTTTATTTGCTTTTTCTTTCTATTCGTCACAATTAATTCTTTATTGCACCGTGTACATTTATTCCAGCGAAGTTTTTTATTTAAAATAGAATGTAGCTTTTGATATGCATCCAGC